GGGGGGGGAAGCCCTTTTGCAATGAAAACAAAGCCAGAGTCTCTTTGGTATGGTCACTATATCTCTCAGGACCTGGAAAAAGGTGTAATCCTGGTGATGGTCAATCTCAGCCTGTGGAGGTGGGCCGTGACAGTGGTTGGTGATGATGAGACTGCCCCCACTGAATCAAGCTGCCAAGTTCTGCCAGAAATAAAAAGGCAAAGAGGGGCAATAGCTGTGTCACATCAAAAAGTATCCTATCAAAACAAAATCCAGTGCCAACAACCCAGACATGGACACTTCCCCTCATTTTAAAAAAGAGGCAGGTCTAAATTATTATTCCTATTGTTATTATTTGTATTACCGTAGCACCCAGGAGTGTGAGTCATGGCCCAGGACTCCATTGTGCTAGGTGTTGTACAAACACAGAACAAAACAGTCCCCTGTCCTTAAAGTTGCTCAAGAGCATTTCCTATGAATGCAATCACTAAAGATCAAAGAAATCCACCAATAGAAGGATTTAAATCCTGCTTTAAGGGAAAATTTAAATGCATAGCTGCTATTGAAATCCCCCATAATACTTAAGGTACGTCCACACTGTTCCACAGTTTAGAATGCGGATGTGTGAAGAGCAGTGCACACCAAAGTGCTGTGCTGTAACTCCCCCGTGTGGTTGCTGTGGATGTGAACTAAAAGGTTCCCAGTTTGCATTAACACAGTCCTGTTTGAAGAGGACTACATTAATGGAAATGAGGAACCTTTTAGTTCATGCTAATAGAGTCCACATGGAGGAGCTACAGCGCAGCACTATCGTCACCCCTGTAACCCAAACTATGCGATAGCTGTAGCCCTCAGACTGTAGATTCTTTGAGGCAGGCATCATCTTTTTATGTGTGTACAGAGCCCTGAATGGAGTCGCTAGGTACTAACACAATGCAAATCAAATAAAATAATAACAATAATACATAAATATACGGTATATGTAGTGACAGTCTGACCTCGTGGATTGGGTGCTCAGGAGACCTGGGTTCTATTTTTGGCACTACCACTGTTATACTGGGTGACCTCTTCATGCCTCAGTTTCCCCATCTGTAAAATGAAGATAATGACACTGACCTCCTTGGTAAAGTGCTTGATGGACTGATTACATGTGCTGTATAAGAGCTAAGTATTATTATTAATGCGAGAATTACCTCATTTTGGACACTTTTTTTAAAAAAAATTAATGGATAGACTACAAAATGCCACAGGCCCAATTCTCCTCTGCCACCTGTGTAAATCAGAAGTAACTCCACTGAAGTTAAAATAGAGCCCAAAGCTCACTGAAAAAAGTTGAAGTCTTTCCATTTACTTCAATGGGTTTTGGATCAGGATCTAAGTGAGAAAAGAATCAGGACCTATTTTTTTTTTCTTTAAAGACTATAACAAGTACCAGCCTTACATTGTGGTGGTGAGGGGTATTTAATCATTATAATGTCTCTGCATGAGAGTCCCCTCCCACCATTAGACACCCAGGAGATTGACCTGCTTGGTCTTTATTTGTTTTACTTTCCTCAAGGTATGCATGAATGTAGAATTAAGGCCAGTAGCCCCTGAAGATGACTGCAAGCTCTGTAATTACAATTCAGGAAATTGAGCCTGTTAGCATGGAGCAAAGAGCAACAACTCCTAGCTTGCTTCTCCAAGAGACCCACAAATCTTTAAGACTGAAGATATAAATGTTGTGTAGGAGGTTTCCACATAAACAAAATATATATCGCCTCTAAAATCATAACTACCGCTGCAGGCCTACCAATCAAATGACAGTGACTCTTCTGGGTTTTCCATAAATCATGGCTTGAGAGATTTAACTTAGTTTAGTATCAGTAAATAGCATTTTAGTTAAAGGGATTTTCAAAAAGGGAAATAGAGCAATTAAAAATAGTTCACCTAACGCCAAAGACACTAAACTCTCACCCCTTGCACATGCCCAGAGACTCGAGAAACTAACCTTGTTTGAATGACATGTATATCTCTTTCCTGCTGGTAATGGCATAATGACTGTCCTGATGTTTTGAAAAAGGCAATAGATCTTGGTTTGTACGAAGGTGGGCTTCTCAAGATTACCACTGCTTCATCTGTGCTGTGAAAACTTGCATCACTGCTGAAATAGCAGCAGTGTCAACTATAAAAAGCTATCTTCATTTTCCAAGCAATGCCTTCCCAAGGTCACAATGCTTTTACATTGTATAGTAGGCCCTGGTTTCTTTCTTAGAGTACCACTGACATTCTTTAAAACTGAGATTCAGTTTCACTCTCACCATTTCGCTTATTTTAATTATATCACTGAATCCCTATTAAAAAACCCCTATTGCTCGGATTCTTTTCTACATTTTATTTTAACCCTTGAAGAATTCTGTCACAAAGTTTGATGCTTTGTGAGTTAACAAGCATTACCTTGGACACTCTACCTAATAAATAGCTCGATTGCTACTTTGTGAGCAACTGAAAGAACAGATGGATATTTAGGATATGAAGAATTCCACTTTGCTAGTATTATTCCAGACAGACACATCTAATGAATGAGAACACAAAGGCATGCAGCAGCTGTCAGTTGAATACGTGCCATAGTGCAAAGCACTGCTATAAATGAATTTGAAAGATTTATGCGCTTCTATTTCTATCTTGATATTCTCTGAGTGTATTTTATTTGGAGGATAATGTAGAGGGAGATGGAATAAGGGCTGGAAGAAAATTAGATCCCAAATAACATCACAGATTAAAGTAAAACTGCTCATGAATTATCATCCTGCATAACTGAGCTACCATAAACTCCATACTGGACAATGGTCCATTATATTCTATTCCACTCTGGTGGTGATGCCATATTAAAACAAAAGCAGGTGGGACTCTTTAGCTCATTGCAGCTGCACACATGTTCAGTAGTTAATGCATCTTTGAAAGTTCCCCTCAATCAGTTGTCATGCCTGAGAGGTTATTCAGTGACGTTCCACTGCTGCTTGTTTTGAAAGCCCATACTGGCATGTACATATATTCATTACACATACTATACATTGTGAGGTAGCAGGGCACATGCCCCTATATGAATCATGCATCAAGATTAAATAAATGGGCTTTGAATGGTGCAAAAGACTATGATATAGTAAATTTATTTCACTTTGAATTTACATTTGTCTGAGTGTGGCGGTCCCCAATGGTTGAGCCTCCACTGTTCAATTTCTATAATAAGCTTTGTTATTCAACATGTCACTGCTAAGGCATACTTAGATGAAATTTAAGTCTACTTTGAATGACTCTTTACGTGGTGGTAAATCAGATAACTAATACACACATTTGGATCCCATTTTATTCCCAGACTCATTGATATAATAGCTTTAGAAAGGTTATCTACAGTTATCTTGTCTATCAGCTGGCAAGACTGGATTGCTCTCAACATCAAACCAATATATGTTTTATCTAGTCTATTCTCGAGCTCTTCTAGAGGTGGTAACTCAGTGACCTCTCTTGGCAAATCATTCTGTTGTCTCATTGACCCTGATTTTGGAACTTTTACCCCATATGTCTAATCTGAATGAAATTTCCTTCTTTAACTTTCAAGCCATTGCTCATTATATCATCCTTAACCACCTTAAATAATTCCTCCCCATCTTTTAATGTTACTACTTCTCAAGTATTTAAACATAGTTATCATGTCTGCTCTTTGTCATCTTTTCTCTAAGCTGTACATATTCAGTTCCTCTAATCTCACTTCAGAGGTCATGCCCACTAATCCTTTTATCACTTTAGTCACCTTTATTTGTATTTTCTCTAATTGATCAATGTCTTTTTTTTATAATTAGGAGGCCAAAATTGTACACGGTCACTCAAACACTGTTGGAGGGTGAAGTAAGGGATGGGAGGACAATGTGGGTATGGCTTCACAGTTTATAGCTGCTATTCTATTTGATGAAAGTACTATAAAGACTTATCAGTCTACTCCTTAACTAATTAGTGACTTTAATGAGCACTGAACCTTCAAGTGCAATGCTAGGGATCAATTAAAACATCTGTGGCAACATAATTAACTCAAAATAATGAATCAGAGAAATTCCTTGAAAAATGACACCTTCTTAAAAAGGTATGGTAAGTACATCATTTAACATGAAACCTACGTTTAGTATTCTGGTAGAATTTTCATAAGCATGATTTTATCTAATATGACAAAGCTAAATTTGTAGATGTTCTGAGCAACACAAATGACTGTAGAAGGAGCAGAATGTTTCTGAATTAAGAAAGACCTCCATGACAGTCAGAACACAGAGGGCAGATTCACAGCTGGCATATGACCATACATAGAGGTCAATGAGGGAACAGCATTCATTTATGCCAACAGTGACTGAGGCTGTAAGGTCTTAAAATTGAAAAGGAGCTACTGACATTTAATTCTTATGTCAGGGAAAGTCTTAATTTAAAGAAAAATGGCCCCCCAAGGCAAAATTGTGCAAATTGCCTCTTGCTTATGACCTTGATATTGACCTCAGGTATACCATTCCTAAGTCCAATTTTTCATTGTAAAACTTGTATTTGTGGTTAAAAATGTCTCCAGACTTAAACATAAAAGGGCAGGCTACTGTACTGTATTCAGCTTACTTTGGGCATAGCAGAGAGGGAGCTCTCAGTTATCCTCCTTCATTCTTTGTCCTTTTGCCTAAGCAGTGTAGAGTAGGCTGGAGGCTGCTTTTTAAAAAATATTATTTATATAGCATAGGAGATTACTGGACGAGGGGGCTGTACAAACACATAACAAAAAGGAGAGTCCGTGCCCCCAAAAGGTTACAATCTAAGTACAAGACAAGAGACAACATATGGATACAGAGAGACAGACGGGGTAATGGAAATGGCATAGGGCTGCCACAGTGTCTTCTACACTACCCACCCTACTAGCCACCAGTACAGGGGCATGATGGGGAGAATGGGGGCAAACCTGGGGCACCACAGAGGCCAGCTGCCAGACAGCCCTTGGGGGCCATTGTCTGCTTCTGTAAAATGGAACAGGCTTCAGGCTGCTACTCTGTGTTATGCTGGGGTCTAATATCTAGTGGTCCTGGGACTAGGGGAGCACAAAGGTGACTGAACTCTGCCTTTGCCTCAAAGTGGTCCTGCAATGAGCTCAGCTCAGTCAGATGAGAGAATCTGGTCCATAGTTCAGAGCTCCCAAATGCTGTATTTACAGTAAACGTAAAGCGCATTGGCCAAATTCTTTTTGACTTCATAGGAGTTACAGCGATGGTTGTAAAGGAGGACTTGGGTCATTTGACTTTTAATGAAGGCTCTCTCTTTACAGTGTTTATAATGCAGGGATGACTGGAAACGTAAATACACACATAACCCAAGCACAGAAGTCCTTATTGCCAATACTACTTTATAGTCTCCAGCTTCTAGTCCAGGCTGGATGTGACACGAAAGACTCCTGTCTCTGACTCAGTACAACATTTAATTCTTTAGTACTGAAATACTTTCCACACTCCCTTTCACCTTTTCTTTTTGCTGAAGTCACAATACCTGTACTAAGTTTTTGACATCACATTAACTTCCATGGAAACAAACCAGCATTAGAGAAACACGGGAATATGACTTCATTGTAGGATTAAGCAAAAACAAACAAACAACAACAAAAAAAACACTCCCAAGAACCCCAAAACCTAGGGAAAAAGCTCTTATACAACCATAAAGAGGGTGTCTGAAATAATCATGGAGTTAATACAGAAAATACTGGCAATTTAGTGTTTTTATGAAAAAAAGAGAACATTTTTGCTAAGTTTGTTGAAGTATGAAAGTCCTTCTTTAAAAGAGAGTCTATATGCCCCATTAATGATAGCTTGGATTACGGCAGTGCATTTGGTTTGAGTTCATATTTAAAAGAAACCATTTGCTCCTACTGAAGCAAGGCACTCAGTCGATGTGAACCTCCTATGCTGCTGAAGTTAGCTGGCTTGACCTGACATATTTTTAGAGAGTACTGAAAACAAGAGAGGAGCAGGTGAGATAGGAGAGTCGGCTCAAGGATGATTGTGTTGAGGGTCTAGTAGATAGGCAAAGGGGTTATTTCATGTAATTGGATAGCATTCTAACATACAGGCAGCTTACAATAGTCATAGAAAACATAGTTGTGGCAAATGACACAGCAACAAATATTACTCTCTATTTGAAAACAACCACAATTCAGGCTAGAGTCAGAGCTCAGTGAACAGTTTTCTAGAGTTTGGAATTCTTGTGAGAGCATCTGATAAGTCAGGACTTGTCTACATATGGAGTTTTCTGGAATAGCTATTGTGCCTCAAATTTGCAACCTACTTTTAATACAAAATAATTTTCAAGTGCAGACAAGAACTCACATGCACTAGGAGTCTGATTCTTCTCTCATATACATCAGTTTTACAATGAAGTATTTTCATGAAGTTCAGTGGAGATACTCCTGATTTAGACTCATGTAACTTAGATCTGAATCATGCCCTAAGTCACAAACAATTTATCATTTGCCTAATAATGAAAGCGAGAGCTAATTGGTCTTTATTTCTATCTTTTAAAACTTTTTTAAAAACCTAGAAAGCCCATCAAAATTCTGCAAAAATCCTGATTGGAATTTTCAACTGTTCTAAGGTCAAGTTCCAATATTGCTGCTGAAATGAAAGGTAATGTTTGGAACACGATCACTGTGTCATAATCTTGTTTCAAACACAATTTGTGTGTGTCAAGCCTGGGGCTGAGCTGATACGCGTCATGGAGCAACTGAGAGGTGCATTAAGGACCAGAAATACTGAAAAGAGCCTTTCTCGTCATTTCCTCTGCTAAAACGTGATGTACTCCGGACACTTTGATCATGCAGGCCATACACAAGAAAAGCTTCCTTTGATGGATTCTCTTTTCCACAAACACATGAAACCCCAGTTCATGTAACTACAGTTATGCGTATATATCCAGGGAGAATAGATCTTAATTTACAAAAGAGAAGGAAAAGCCCAGTAGTTATTTCTTCCTCTGATTCCTTTTTTTGATTGTGAACACTATGATAGCACGGTAGAGCTCCTGCTTTCACTTTTATTAAGGTCAGCTTGGCACACAATTTTTTTTTCAAACTTGAATTTGATCTTGCTCATGCCAAGCGAGTTTTCCAAAGATCTGCCATTTGTGCACTGAGGGTGGCATTCTCCCCTGTGCTGAGCGGCCAGTGCAAGGTTTATGAATTCTGTGAGCCCTTTTGAAGGTTTGAGCTGGACGTAATGTAGGCTCATTGTGGTAGGCCTGGCACCAAACAGCCCCTTTGTGGTGGGGGGGATGGGGTGTTGGAACCTCGCCACTCTGAAGTTCATGCGCCGGTCTCTCTGTGGGCGGCCAGTTGTGGCCTAATGGCCTTCTTCCACACAATCACCCCTTGGTCGGGGTAGTGGGCCTAGCGGC